AATCCATAACACTTTCTGGAAACTTGAAATTGGTACTTCCGGGAGTAATTGCTTGGAGCATTTGGAAACAATACGCAGCTATTAGATTTGGAAACGAAGAATTTAACATCCAAACTATAAAATCACACATTAGAAATAATATCAACCTGTGGTGTTGGAAACATCGCCATAAAGGTTGGATGATTCACGATGACAATCTCACCAGGGCTGGGCTACAAATGTTTGCCCTTAACGGAAAGGCAATTCCAGGAGCAAGAAGATGACGAAGGTGGAGCCTAGTGACTGAAGGGGGGAAATCGTTCTCTGTGAAGGATTGTAATAGCTTGGATTTATCCGTTTCCCTAAAGTCAGGATATTTGTTTGGTTCCTTTTGATTTATTCCTTTTTTATTTTATTGTGTTTTAACCTTCGAGGCTTCAGTCAAGTCCTCCTCGAACGTGTTCGGATCCCGTTTTTAAATAAAATCGGCAAGGAACCCTGAACCTTACCCCACCGACTTTGGTGGAATATATATATATATATATATATATATATATATATATATATATATATATATATATATATATATATATATATATATATATATATATATATATATATATATATATATATATATATATATATATATATATATATATATATATATATATATATATATATATATATATATATATATAAAACATTTTATTTTACTATTTTACAATATAAAACTGGCCACAGTATTGACTCTACATCAATACTATAAGTAATAAGCGGTATCTAGCAACACATTATTACTCCCAGATTATAAGTTCAGACATTTGCGCTGTCAAAACCTTTCTACGACTAAGACTTTGTATAACGTAGATCCTTTTGTTCCAATGTCTTAACTTAGTGCAAGGGATATATAAAATAGCCAACTTGTAGCCAGTAAGTTATTTGCTGATTAACAAGTCTGACTGATGAGAACAGATGTCTAAACTCATCTCAGCATGGTCATGCATTTCCTCAGTCATACTTATCAGTGGGCCCCTACAAGACATTATTCTGCTTAAGTAGTAGTGACAAATTCTTTGTACGTAATCTACGTCTTCGAATACGTGCAGCGGCATGCCCAATACAAAGCCTGTGTACCATACTTATTTCATACGGCTTAGGACAATGAATCAAAGCATACGGGTTCACGCATTCGAAGAACATAATACTTCAAGTCTAAGGATCGTTATACCAATAGTCGCATTAAGGACTTTTAGAGCATAGACTAAAAATCTAGGCAATGTCCTTAAGGTGGGTCAAGTCTGGCAACCTATTATTAACGATAATATCTGCCCGAGAGTAGATGCGAACACTCCGTCATTGACCAAGAGAGTAGGTCAAACATCTAACTCTCACTAGTCTCACATGCACTAACGATATCCCACTCTCGTTAATGCTTCAACTATAGACCGTTTAGAATTATACTAAGTGACAAGATGTGAGTCTCAACATCAGAAGACTCATTCTGATAAACATCTTATAATATAATTCTAGGAATGTAATTAAGAGTTTACATTAGCATGAGATGTTTGTAAACTTATTACATCTGCCTTTACATTATAGAAAATATCTAAGATATTACAACAGCAGTTGGTCATAAGGGCAGCAACTCCAACAATCTCCCACTTGCACTATTTCCAATCTGGCATTGGTCGAATGCCCATTGACCTAGTGTGACCCTCATGCTTTAGCTTTCCCAAGGGCTTGGTCAGGGGTTGGCTATGTTGTCGTCTGTTCCTACTTTGCAAATCTCCACATCGCCTATGTCTACGATTTCTCGTATGATGTGATAACGTCGTACAATGTGCTTGGTCTTTTGGTGAGATCGTGGTTCCTTTGCATGTGCAATGGCCCCAGTGTTGTCACCGAACAACGGGATTGGGTCATTAATACTAGGAACCACTCCAAGTTCAGAAATGAACTTCTTTATCCAAACACCTTCCTTTGCTGCTTCCACAGCAGCCATGTACTCAGCCTCTGTAGTTGAATCGGCGGTTGTGTCCTGTTTAGAACTCTTCCAGCTAAAAGCTCCGCCATTCAGGAAAAACACATACCCTGCTTGTGACTTGTAATCATCTTGATCGGTTTGGAAGCTCGCATCAGTGTAACCGATCACTTTCAGCCTTTCCTCACCTCCATATACCAGGAATGCATCCTTAGTATTCCGAAGATACTTTAGGATGTTCTTGACCACTATCCAGTGTGCTTCACCTGAATTCCCCTGGTATGTCACGCTGAAAGCGAATGAGACATCAGGTCTAGTACATATCATGGCATACATGATAAAACCAATTGCAGAAGCATATGGGACCTTCATCATGAGTTCCTTCTGCTCGGGAGTATAAGGACTCTGGCTCTTGGAAAGAGTCGTGCCAGATAACATAGGTAAGGATCCTTTTTTCGAGTTAGCCATGCTAAATCGATCAAGGACCTTATCTATATATGTACTTTGACATAGACCTATCAACTTTCTTGACCTATCACAGTAGATTCTTATGTCAAGGGCATAACTAGCATTCCCCAAGTTCTTCATGGCGAAGTTCTTGCTCAACCAAGTTTTTACAGACGTAAGAGCAGGAACATCGTTACCCATTAACAATATGTCATCGACATATAGGATTAGGAATACTATCACACTCCCACTGGCCTTCTTGTAAACACAAGACTCATCAGAATTCTTCTCGAAACCAAAACTAGTGATGGTTTCATCAAAGCGTATATACCAACTCCGAGATGCTTATTTCAATCCGTAGATGGACCGTTGTAGCTTACAGACTTTGGCAGATTCACTAGCAATTGTAAAACCGTCACGCTGTGTCATATAGACATCCTCTTTAAGATTCCCGTTAAGGAAAGCCATCTTGACGTCCATCTGCAAAATCTCATAATCGTAGAACACTGCAATCGCAAGCATTATCCGAATGGACTTCAGCATCACAACTGGAGAAAAGGTTTCATCACAGTCAATTCCATGGATTTGCCTATAACCTTTTGCTACCAATCTAGCTTTGAAGGTATGAACCTTCCCGTCTACGACTGTTTTCTTTTTGAAAATACACTTGCACCCTATGGGTTTTATCCCTTCGGGCGCATCAACCAAGGTCCAGACTTGGTTTGTGTACATAGACTCCATTTCGGATTTCATGGCATTACGCCATTCTTCGGATTCGGGGCATGTGATTGCCTCGAGGTAGGTCTCAAGTTTGCCTTGGTCTACCAGCAAGATGTCACTTTCATCAGATACAAGGAAGCCATATCTAACCAGAGGATTACGCATCCGGTCTAACCTACGTGGTAAAACCTGAGCCGATCGAGATACTGAATCTGGACGCTCGGGTTCCACTGCTATTGAGATCTCTTCTTGTGGTTCTCAAATTTCTTCGAGGTCTACCTTTCTCCCACTAGAAATAGTAGAGAGAAACTCCTTCTCAAGGAAGGTTCCGTTCCGAGCAACAAAGATTTTGTTATCGGTCGGATGATAAAACTCATACCCTTTCATTTCCTTGGGGTATCCCACAAATTTACACCTATCAGATTTGGAATCAAGCTTACCAGACGTCATGATGTGTCTAACATAAACATCACAACCCCAAATCCTCAAGTACGACAAATTTGGTTTCGTCCCACGCCATAGTTCGTATGGTGTGCTCTCAATAGCTTTAGATGGTACGCGATTGAGTGTGTGTGCTGCTGTTAATAGTGCTTTGCCCCAAAAAGACTCTGGTAATGTTGTCAGACTCATCATACTCTGAACCATATCGAGCAGCGTTCGGTTTCTCCTTTCAGACACTCCATTTAATTGGGGTGTACCGAGAGGAGTCAGCTGGGATAGAATCCCGTGCACTTTTAGATAGTCGTCGAACTCTAGACTTAAGTACTCACCTCCTCAATCCAAGCGGAGGGTCTTGATACTTTTGCCTAATTGTTTCTCTACTTCGTTTCTGAATTCTTTGAACTTGTCAAAGCATTCCGATATGTGTTTCATGAGATACACATATCCATACCGACTGAGGTCGTCAGTAAATTTTACAAAGTATGAGAAACCACCTCTAGCTTTAGTGTTTATTGGGCCACATACATCAGAGTGTATGAGGTCTAATACATCACTCGCCCTTTTCACCGTGACCGGTGAATGGAGCCTTTGTCATTTTACCGAGTAAACAAGATTGGCATACATCATAAGACTCGAGGTCAAATGAATCAAGTACGCCAGAGTGTCGTAACTTAGATATGCGTTTCTCGTTAATGTGGCCCAAACGACAATGCCAAAGGTATGTGAGATTCAAACTATTTGGTTTGCTTCTCTTAACATCTACGTTATAAACAGTGGCGTCTAAGTCTAAGATATAAAGACCATTGGTCATCTTAGCAATTGCATAGTAAATATCATTTCTGAAAAAACCAAAAGGCACTTGTCTTTGATGTTAATAGAAAATCCTGCTTTGTCAAGACAGGACACAGAAATGATATTCCTGCTAATGGCAGGTACAAACAAACAATTGTTTAAATGCAACAACAAGCCACTAGGGAGAGATAGAACATAAGTTCCTATAGCCAGCGCATTGACATGTGCTCCATTTTCGACCTTAAGCTGGACTTCTCCCTCAGCCAAATGTCTAACTTCATGCAGATTCTGCATAGAAGTACAGATGTGAGAACCACATCCAGTATCCATCACTCAAGAGGTGAAATCAGACATATTGACTTCGATAACGTAAATATCTGAGTTTTGGGGTTGAACCTGGTAAAGTTCTCTCAAGCGTTGTATCATAGGACGCACTTCCATGTCCGCGTGGAGCCTTTGGAGCTCCGCGGTCATACTGGCCATAATGATACACTTAACATCTCGCGCGTCGTCCTCATACTTCTTGAAGGAAGTGAGTTCGGACACAGGAGCATTTGCCTCAGGGGTCTTGGGAGGATCCGTTTCGAGGATGTAGAGTTTCCTCTCATAGTCAAGATTGATTCGGAGGTTCTTCTCCCAATCAAGAAAGTTTTCCCCAGAGAGTTTTTAGCTCTCGAGGATATAGTGCAGGTTGATGGAATGACTGTACGTGTTATTCGATGCCATCTACAGAATGAAATTGCAAACTAGGTTATCTATCATGTTGAATAACTAATTAGGCCTTTTAATTAATTATTTCCCACTATTTTAACAAACCAACAACCCTCAATGTTGATTCGGAGATTCTCCTAGAGATTCTCTTAATGGGCCAAGATCCATATATCATTAAATTCCAGTTGACCTGAGGTTCGTACCTAGAATTTAACTATTTAGGTAGGAACATAGTTCCAACTATCGAGCCGCGCTCGCAGTTCTTGGTCTTGTGTTAGGCGAACGACAATACTAGTAACAAACCAGAACACCGTTTCATCGTACATGTGATTGGCTTTGGCACGTACCACATGCGCAACTACTTTAGTTAGGGCAAAGCCTAATTAAGTCATAGAGACCCAACTTCTGGATGGATGAGAGTAAAGTAATTCGACTTATCAGTATAGTGACCCCAACAAAAACCGCCTCTGAGTCATCCATCCATTTGACCGAGACTTAGTTAAGTCTAACCCAACGTCTGACAATGACCACTTTAGTGATTCCCGTGACCAGCATAACATACATCGTACTACGCTCTGCTAGGGCTGAGTACGTGACAGTGCACATTAGCCGGAAATGTGCCGGGCGCCGGAAGGCAATACAGACTTAATATTTCGAGGGGTTTTAAATATTACGATCTCACCTACGACACATGTCGCGCATGTGTCAATTTACTAGCGTTAAACATACATTCACATGCATTCAAAATACACAGTAAATAAACGTGTAATGATCGTGGCCCCTAAAGGAAAAATAAAACGATAGCTCCCACTGACTTCGAGGCACTTGGTCTTCGGGCTATTTCCATTCCTTTAGATTCCCTCGAACGGACTTCAAATCCTTTTATCTTCTAACCACCACGTGAGAAAAGAATCCTTGGTTGAGGTAAGAGAGAGAAATAGATTTACAACAAGAGTTTAAGAGATAATGCACGACACGCAGGCCTATTATAATCAAATAAACTATAGCCATAATCATCCACCATGCATATCATACATCCACACAAGCAATCGAGATATACATACACCGGGCTAACCACGCTCGCCCCAGACAATTTTAGAAAAAAATACTACGTTGGAAATATTTTCTAAAATTCATAAAAATGCATAAAGTGGTCCAAACATTATGAAATTTTACCAAGTCATCCTAAATACATTAGGTGACTTTCGGCCAGGGTTAAAACTGGAAAAAAATTCCAGTAGATACAGAATTACAGAAATGCCCCTTGGCCAATTTTATTTTGAAAAATCCATTTAAATTAGAAATGAATGTTTAAAAATGATGAAAATATATTTTCAACTTCCAGTAACTATTTTAGACATTTATAATTCTGAAAAATAAATTTCCATAATTTATAAATATTTATTTCCCAATTATATTAATTATATCTCAATAATTCTGAAAACAATTTTAAATAATTTTTCAAAAATCATTAAATTATAAAATTTAATATTTAGAAAAATCTACTTACTTTTTAATGAGATACAATTTTCCAAAATGATATTAGCCATTTTTCAATTAATATATATATATATATATATATTTATATATATTAGTCACTAATATATATACCGAAATATATATATAATTAATTACTAACTAATATTATTTTGTCCAATATATTTATGAACAACTTTATTTCACCCATAAATAATACTTCCAAGTTTTATAAAGTTCATTTTTGAGTTTCCAATATTTATTTAAGATTTATTGGAATTAAATCTAAACAAATACAATTAACTCAAAAATTGGAAATAAACAATTTCGAAAGTTACAATATAATTTTATTAACCTTATAATGAAATTTTATGTTCATTAAAATTATATTAACAATTTCGAAATATATATATTAATATATATTCAAAATTTCCGAATATATGTATAAAATACATATTTTCGGCACAAATAAATAATGAATATTTATTTTAATGATTTATTTAAGTCCAATATTTATTCCAAGACTAAAATAAATCATTTTACTAATTTTCGAGATTAACAAATAATTACCAAGTTAAAAATAATTTCCAACCGAAAAAGTTCTACGAAAAATTATAGTTTTGTACGTTGGCTCCGATACACGGAAAGGTAACCACGGTTGGGAGGGCAGCGGAAATGCAAAAATTTAATCTCCTAATAGTGATTACTAATCCAAGAACACATACTAAAACTATAGCTAGATATTGAAACTTATACCTTCTCCGGTTAGCGGTAATAACGTTGAATCGGTGAAAAGCTTTGAAAGAGCAAACGTAGCCGTTCAAGCGTCCGGCCTCCAACTTTGACACTCATTATGTTCTCTCCCTTTCTCTCTTCACTTGGCCGAAACCTTTTTAGTTAAGTTGTGAGAGTGAGAATTTTCATTTTATTAAAATGAGAAAAACATTTACAATAACAAAGAGACAAAAAGGTTTTGTCAAAGTGTCTTCCTCCACTCATTTCAAAAGTGGGAGACAACTCCACTTAGCATGTACGAAAAATACTCAAAACATTTTAAAACAAGTATATAAAATATACTTTAAAATAGTTTTTGTCAAAATAATTATTTTCATAATTAAAATGACACTCCAAAATAAAATGTACACAATATAATTCATAATGTAATATATACATACATATGTATGTACACGTTATAATAGCATATTACATACACATATATGTACGCACATACATATTACATATACATGTATATATACATACGCACTAACATATAACCATATATATGTGTGTCATGTATAAAGTATATGTATGTATATCTGTGTGTGTGTGTATTAAACATTTTATTTTACTATTTTACAATATACAAATTAAATATTATATCCCTTCTTATAATCCTACTCTTTAAATTGTTCAAAGTGTGTGACCCATATATGCACTTATAAAACTGGCCACAGTATTGACTCTACATCAATACTATAAGTAATAAGCGGTATCTAGCAACACATTATTACCCCCAGATTATAAGTTCAGACGTTTGCTCCGTCAAAACCCTTCTACGACTAAGACTTTGTATAACGTAGATTCTTTTGTCCTAAAGTCTTAACTTAGTGCAAGGGATATATAAAATAGCCAACTTGTAGTCATTAAGTTATTTACTAATTAACAAGTCTGACTGATGAGAACAGATGTCTAAACTCATCTCAGCATGGCCATGCATTCCATCAGTCGTACTTATCAGTGGGCCCCTACAAGACATTATTCTGCTTAAGTAGGAGTGACAAATTCTTTGTACGTAATCTACGTCTTCGAAAAAGTGCAGCGGCATGCCCAATACAAAGCCTGTGTACCATACTTATTTCATACGGCTTAGGACAATGAATCAAAGCATACGGGTTCACGCATTCGAAGAACATAATACTTCAAGTCTAAGGATCGTTATACCAATAATCGCATTAAGGACACTTAGAGCATAGACTAAAAATCTAGGCAATGTCCTTAAGGTGGGTCAGGTCTGGCATCCTATTATTAACGATAATATATGCCCGAGAGTAGATGCGAACACTCCGTCATTGACCAAGAGACTAGGTCAAACATCTAACTCTCACTAGTCTCACATGCACTAACGATATCCCACTCTCGTTAATGCTTCGACTATAGACTGTTTAGAATTATACTAAGTGACAAGATGTTAGTCTCAACATCAGAAGACTCATTCTGATAAACATCTTATAATATAATTCTAGGAATGTAATTAAGAGTTTACATTAGCATGAGATGTTTGTAAACTTATTACATCTGCCTTTACATAATAGAAAATATCTAAGATATTACAACAGCAGTTGGCCATAAGGGCACCAACTCCAACAACCAGGAGCACGCCGAGGCGCGTCTGGCCGAACCTTATTCGGTTGTGGATGGGGTGCTTTACTACAAACGGCGGGTATGCATCAGTTCTTCCTCAACCTTGCGCCAACAACTTATTCGGGAACACCACGACACCTTTCTAGCCGACCACCCAGAAATTCACCGAACGTATCTCCGGCTTGCCCAAAACTTTTACTGGCCGGAAATGAGAACCGATGTCAAGTCCTATGTTCAACAATGCCACACGTGCCAGACTACGAAATACTCCACCCAGCCACCAGGTGGGTTATTGCAGCCGTTACCATTGCAACCTCAAGTGTGGGAGGACATATCAATGGATTTTATCGTGGGCCTTCCACCGTCGCGAGGTTATACGGTCATAATGGTGGTTGTGGACCGTTTGAAAAAAGTGATCCATTTGGGAGCACTACTTGCCGGCTACGACGCCCATCACATGGCTCATTTATTCATTGACATCGTGGTGAAGCTCCACGAGCTCCCAAAGACGATTGTATCGGACCGAGATCGGGTCTTCCTCAGTAACTTTTGGAGAGAGGCTTTGAAGGCCAGCGAAATAACTTTGACGATGAGTATGGCGTTCCACCCCCAAATTGACGGGCAAACAGAAGTCATGAACTAGGCAGTGGAGCAATAATTGAGGGCTTTCACTCAAGATAAACCGACACGGTGGGCGGTCCTATTACCCTGGGTCGAGTACGCCTTGAACACAATCGTCCACTCCGGCCTACAGGTGACTCCGTTCAAGGCTTTGTATGGGCGGCCACCTCTATCGTTCTTACCTTACTGCCGTGGAGAGAGCAAGGTGCCAGAGGTTGATAATTTTTTGCAAGAACGTGATTCCGTACTGAGGCAGTTGTAGGAAAATTTAAAAGAGGCGCAATGGCAAATGGCTACCGCGACTAATAAGCACCAGACGGATTTGAAGTTCAAGGAAAGAGATTGGGTACTGTTGAAGTTCCAACCGTGTCGTCAACATTCCGTAGTTCAGCGGAGCTCGCAGAAACTAGCACGACGGTACTACGGACCTTACCGGGTGATAGCACGGGTTGGAGTGGTTGACTACCGTTAGGAGTTACCAATGGGTTTGAGAATCCATCCCGTATTTCATGTCTCCTTGCTACGGCCGTATTTTGGGGCAGCCCCGGAGCAAAACCGACTCACACTACCAACGGAATTCGTGCATAGGCAGCCCCTATCTGAACCCGTGAGAATCCTCACCGAATGACAGGTGCTAGTTCGAGGGAAGCCAGTGAAAGAATGTCTCGTCGAATGGTCGGATGGGGGACGAGATGACGCCAAGTGGGAACCATATGACTGACTTCATTAACGATTTCCCACGCTACACCTTGAGGACAAGGTGGTTTCGCAAGCGGAGGGGGATGTTACGCATGGGTTGCATGGGACACGAGAGGGGGACGTGGGTGAGCAGAGCATGCCAATGGGCCAAGCCAGGGCCAAATTCCAACCCAAGAGGAACGTGGGAAACCATGTGAATAGCGGATGAGGAAAGCACCGGGATGGCATGATGATTATGTCTTGAAGTAAATTGATATTTTATTATGTAATATATTTTCTTAGGAGGACGTATTATAAGTCCCTTCAAGGGTTTTCTTTTCGGTTCTTTCCCTTGACGCCTTTTTTGAACCGATAGGGTAGCATAGGATTAGGGTTTCTCAACAACTATAAATAGAGGATGTATTCTCCCTTGACGCCTTTTTTGAACGGTAAGGTAGCTACTGTCTGCACCTCAATTTTTGGTTCCCTCTGGCAGTACCTACTACCAAACGGTACCCCGTACCGTTTGAGCGGTACCAAGGTACCGTATCACGGTACCGAGGTACCATTAGGGGTATCGTTAGTCCAGAGAAAAATTCAGAAACTTGATTTTTGAACTGTTAAATCCTATTTTTGGTATCAACCAATTATAATCAATTTCAATATGATTTTTAGAAATGAATATGATGTTTTGATAAATTCAAGAATCTTGTTTGGAGCATGACGGTAAGCTAAGGGTGTTAACACTTGACGCTAGGTCGCTATTTGTTAATTATGTTGATGATGAATGATTTATGGTGAATGACTATGAATGATGAACCTACTGATTATGGATGACCAAATCATGACTAAAAATGGATATATTGGTAATTACAAAGATAATGTATCATTAAGGGTATCTAGAACAACTCTAAGATATACCCATAGTGATGTTAATTTTGACGGGTATCTAGAAAAACTCTAAGATATACCCATTTAAGTTAGGCCTTGTGGGTGTGATGCCCGGTGTCCAGGGTTAAAACGTGCGTGTGGGATCTAAGAACCAAACTTGAGTACCTACTCGTTTGGGGGTACCACCCGACCCAACAGTGAACGCTACGCTGTCAGTTTTTGGTTGACCTTAAGCGAAGGTAAGTTTAAGATTTGAAAACCTTTTAAAATATATATGTCTTAAATTAGGCCTAGCTTAATGGTTAGTCAAGAATATCTTAAACTAGAATAAGTTTAAGAATTGAATTGGCTTAGACTAAGAATAGTTTAAGGATATTGTTGAATACAAATGTTGAACATTGAATATGAATGTTGAATGTTGATATATTGAATATCGAAATGACTTGGAATAAAATTTTGAGAATATCATGAATGAATCATATATTGTGTGCATGATATCAAATGGTTGAATATGAATTGAGATACAATTTAAGTGGATGTTCGACACTTTAGATATGCTTACTTAGCTTCACCGATGAGCGTGTAGTGTGCTTTATTTTCTACACGGAGGTAGGCAGAATGAGTGATTGGCATATTCCTGGCAGCGGAAGGGGCGAAACAGTCGTGGTGGAATTTATGATTAAAATGAATAATTGTGTTGTTATGAGACAGGGTTTAAATTTGCTTTCGCATTATTGTTAAACACTCCGTATTTTTTTACAGTTATGTACTAAATATTATGTTTATGATGAATAAAGATGTTGAAATGTTTTAAATTTTTACGATTACCAAGTTAATACTTTAGTCCAAAAGGGGCTGCAGACCTCGACAGATTATGGTGTTACATATTTTCCTATTTCCTTTATGTATATCGTCACATAATATTTTCATCGTGCATCGCACGAGTTAGAATCTAGTGATATCAAAACTAATAGACTTATATCTTGCCTTTAGAATGTAAAGAAAAAGGGAACGAAAAAGTAATGTAATTGATGGACCAACACATCACTATGTAAAAAAAAGTTAAACAACCATGCTAGAGGTACACCAAAAGTGTACCCCAAGTTGTATTCCAAAGAAATGCACCGACATTTTAACTATTCAGATTGGCAGAAAATGTTAATTCAATAAAAAATTTGTTCTGACATTTTTTGTCAATGTAATTCATCATACTAACATCACACTAGTGCAAAATTCTAGTGCATGTCTTTGGGTACAAAATGAGGTACAAATTTTGGTGCACAAATAGCTTAATCCAAAGTTAAATACAAAAGAGGTGAGGTAATCTTACACCAACTCAATTGGTGTAACATTGTTACATCAATTCAATTGGAGCACCTACGGTGCTACGGTCGTAAAATTGATTGTTCGTACCCCCTAACCTCCCCGGTAAACTCCCTAGCCCGCTCTGTCCCCAACATGCGCTCGTAACTCTACCAAATTTATTACATCAAATTTGGGTCAAATTTGACCCAAAAATCAACAACATTTGATGTAATGAAATTGGTGGCAGTGTGGGGGTGCGTTGAGGACAAGACGGGTTAGGGGGTTTACCAAAGGAGTTAGAAGGGTAGAAATAATCTATTTTACGATTGAAGTATCGTATCTACTCCAATTGAATTAGTGTAACAATCTTACACTACTGCAATGGTATAAGATTACCCCTCCTCAATAAAAAACCAACACATACCACACTTTTTTTAAAACTAAGTATTGAAAATACACACGCTTTTTTTAAACTAAATATCAAAATTAAAGGATCATGCCTTCGCTTCTACAACATTTTAAAAAGAAAAAGAAAAAATAATAAGTTGACCAATCTTTCGTTATGTACTTATGTATAAAAAGAAGAAAAATTTAAAACTTAACCAACATAGATTAGTTGATCCTATATATCCTATATATCCTATATCCTATATATATATGTAAAAGGGAGTTCAATTGTTGTAGTGTTGACATGTGCCACATGTGCACTCACTAATGATGTGGATTTATGCATTTTAATTCATTGGTCCATTTTGATTTTTTAAAAAGATCTTTGAATACATTTGCATAAAACTTTTTCATTTTTTAATAATTCTATAAATATATATTTCATCATTGTAAAATATACTCCATTATATATATATATATATATATATATATATATATATATAATTTTTATACTATCCACAACTTATTTTAGTTTATTACTTTTTAAAAAATGATTATATAAATTTAATCACATATGCATATTTATTAATTAAACGATTTGTTTCAAAAAAATTTATCTTATTACATTATTTATTTTATTAATGCATATCATATTATTATTAAAACATTAAAATAAATAAAATTAAATTTTAATTCATATTATGTTCATATATGAATTGAACTTTTAACAAACATCCAAAATGTTAACTTATAATATCTATGTTAACATATAGATATATTTTATAGAGAAATATGCGAGCCCGTGCGAAGCACGGGGTAAAAACTAGTATATATGTAAAAGAGAGTTAAATTGTTGTAGTGTTGACATGTGGCATGCCACATGTGCACTCACTAATGATGTGGATATATGCATTTCAATTCATTGGTCCATTTTGATTTTTTTAAAAGATCTTTGAATACATTTGCATAAAACTTTTTCATTTTTTAGTAATTCTATAAATATATATTTCATCATTGTAAAATATACTCCATATTATATATATAAATTTAATCACATATGCATATTTATTAATTAAACAATTTGTTTCAAAAATTTTATCTTATTACATTGTTTATTTTATTGCTACAAATATTTTTTAACAAAGTAAATAAAATAAAATTGCTTTCGTTGAAGGGTAACAACTGACAAGTGACATTATGACACATATACATTCTCTAATGATGTATCGTTATGTAATTAATCCACTTTTTATTAAAATATTTTATTAATTAAAATTATTTTTATTAGTACTAAATTCAATGACCATTAATTTTGTATAATTTGTTTGTTTCTAAATTAACATACCAATATATATTCCACCAGTTTAAAATATATTTTTTCACTATTAAAAACTAAAACAGCTAAAATTATATTTATACAATCTCAGAAATTTAGAATATATACGAGCCCGTGCGAAGCACGGGATTAACACTAGTAATTAGCTAATATAAGCTTAAATTAGAGATTTTCGAAATAAATTTTAAAAAAATGGTAGAAAGGGTACCATTAATAGATGGACCACGACAGACGGCTGGCGACGGACGGCTGGGGGCAGTGGCGGATCCAGAAAATTGAAGAGTTGGGGGCACAATAATTAAAGACTTAAAGTCATAACATAAAGTAAAAGACCAAAAAATTACAAACACAAGTTTTGAAATACATAAAATTAAACATTACAATTCTAATATGACAAAGCATAAAATATGAAAAAATTACAACTGCCCTCTTCGAGTTTTCATCTTCTGAAACCGATCTATTACAATTTCATTTTCAACTCTTTCAAGCATGTCTTTTTCCACATAAGATAGTAAACAATCACTAAAGAACTCATCCCCAATTCGATTTCGTAAATATGTCTTCACAAGATTCATTGCTGAGAAGCATCTTTCAACACCTGCAGTTGCAACCGGCAAAACCAATGACAACTTTAGAAGTTTATATACCAAAGGAAAGGTGGTGTGTTTTTTCGTCTCTACCAATACCGTAGACAAATCACCAAGACCATTAAGATTTGAAAATTTGTCATCTGAAGTCACGTCCATAATGTATGTCTCCAATTGATTCTGTAATTCTTTGGCATGAACTTCAGAGAAATCATTAGGATAAAATTGAGATAATCTCACCAATTTGGCCACATCAAAGTTATGGAAAGAATCACGAGGACTCAAACAAGCCACACAATGGAGCAACTCCATGTTTACTTCATTAAAACGGTCATTAAGTGATGCAACTTGTTGATCAATAATCACATAAAATAATTCAATACGATACCGTACCAAATTAGTTTTCCCTGTCCTACGTCGTGGATGATCAAGATCAACATATTCCTCATCCATGTTTAAAAAAGGAAGACCATACTCATCACAAAAAGAAGAAATTAATGCTATGAGGGATTCCCATCCTTCACTTCTTAACTTTTGCAATCGTTGCTTAGCAACTTCAACAAGAGATAAAGCATTTAAAATATCTTGATCTTTCCTTTGCAATGCCACGGACAATTCATGAGTTATTCCAAGCACATCCAACATCAAATGTAAGCAAAAAGCAAAGTCAAATTTCTTAAAATACCTCAAAACACCACGAGCTTGAGCTTGCTTTGTTGTGTCTCTAGCCTCATCCTTCACAAAATCAAGCACTTTAATAATCGAAGGATACAACTTCACGATATTTAAAAGTGACTTATAATGAGATCCCCAACGCGTATCCCCGGGTATTTTGAGACAAAGCTCTTGATTCAACCCACTTCCATTTTCAATCTCTCCAGAAGCAATGCCTTCTTGAATTCTCTCCATATAATCGTATCAAATCTTATCTCGGCGTTTACATGAAGCCCCAACAACATTTAACAATGTGGCAATCATAGAAAAAAAAATCTTGAATGTCAAGATTCATTTTAGCTATAGCTACCAAAGCTAATTGAAGTTGATGAGCAAAACAATGAATGTAATAAGCTGATTGATTTTCATTCAAAATCAAAGACTTGAGGCCTTTAAACTCACCCCGCATGTTACTAGCACCATCATAACCTTGGCCTCTTATTCTTGACAAGCTTAATCCATACTCAGCAAATAAATTATCAAGTGCATCTTTAAGAGCTACAGCACAAGTTTCTTTCACATGAACAATCCCAATAAACCGTTCTTGGACAAGACCTTTTTTATCTACATATCGCAACATCGTAGCCATTTGCTCTTTATTTGATATGTCACTAGATTCATCAATTAAGAGACTAAAAAAGGTTCCTTGGAGCATTTTGGAAAGTAGCCATTTGCTCTTCATTCATGATTTCTTTAGCAAAGCAGTGAACAATATCTTTTTGAATAGTTGGAGAAATCATTTGATGGTTCCTTGGAGCATTTTGGAGTATAACCTTACCCACAGTCTCATTTTGTTCACCAGTATATGCTAATAATTCTAGAAAATTTCCCCGGTTACTTGATTCTTCATTTTCATCATGACCACGAAATGGTAGTTTTAATCGTAACAAGAATCTACAAGCCATAATTGAAGCATTCAAACGGATTCGATATTCATTTTTCACATTCTCTGATTGTGTGTGAAGTGCAACTTCAATTGATTGACTCTGTTTCATCAAATTCTCACATCTTCTAAGTGCTTCATTGTGATAACTATTTACCTTACCAACATGAGATGCCAATCTCTCACTTTTGTTCCATGATGAAAAACCATGTGTTACAAATGCATCACTTCCACATTTATTTTCATGATAATCTCTACATAAATAACAACACAAACAATATGCTTTATCCTCCTTAATGCTATACTCTAACCATTTTGGATATTTTTTGAACCAATCTGGATTGAATCTCCTTGAACTTTCCCCAATTTGTTTTGAAGGGAAGTTATGGTCTAGAGGTTGACAAGGTCCTTTCAACCAATATGCACGCCTTATTTCATCTCTTTGATTAGGATGATAGTCACTAATCTTTAATCTTTCAGCGGGATCAAAAGGCAAATCATTCAAATCGATTCTTTTTTGTTTTACTTGACACTCAGACACAGAAAGAGGCATACTTCCATTTGAAGGTCCACTATCACTTTTATTTTCTTGTAAAGATGAAAATTTCCTTTTGAAAAATCTCTCCATAATGTATCTGTCAAAAATTCAAAATTGATGGAGTAAATTACAGTTCAAACTAATAGTTCTCCATGGATTCAATTATTCAAAATCTATTTACGGATTTACCTCAATTAATTAAAACATCAATAATACATATTATCAAATAATTTAACCGTAAGCTTAAACAATTAACACATGAACCTAACATCATAATATAAGGAATTAACAGTAATTAAGAAATAAAATACTAATAAATTGAAAATAGGACTATGGACTCACCGATCGAATGAGGATTCCGAATTTCCGATGAAGGGGAATAGGCTATGCTATGATGATTAAGAACGTATGAAGATGGCAGATTGACAGATCGTTGCTTTCGTTCTCCAGGCTCCAGCTTCGCCTGCTTCGGTAGCCCCAAATAGCCGATGAAGATGGAAGATCGCCAGTTCGCCAAATCGCCACAGACCACAGTCGCAGAGCCGCTACAGCCCACTTCCGTAAGATTAGGTTTCTTACTTTATGTCTTTAATTGTGAAAAACTAAAAATGTTAATTGGTTAAAAAAATTAAACTTAAGTAAAAAAAATGGGCTGGATTATTGGGCTGTTGCCTATTGGGGTCATTCTAATTTCTAGATGGGGGCAGTGGCCCAAATATACAGAAAAAGTAAAAAAAAAAAATTGTTTAACTCTAAAAGTTAGTTGGGGGCATATGCCCCCCATTCCTTCCACATACATCCGCCACTGGCTGGGGGCGATATTCTCTTCGACGCCTCTTGGCCTGCTTTGAATGTGTAAAATGGGGTTTGAATGTGATTTGGATGGGGAAGATGGATGGTCAACCACGCCTCTAATAATTTTTTTTGTCTTAACGGTAGAGGTTGTACCGTTAACCTTTGATTTTCTCTGACAGGCACTGAACGGGAATGGTTTTGTGTTTCCTCACTAATCGAGAATAAATCTATGTACACTATATATACTATTTGAGTGATGATGTAATTTACGAAGTACTATTAAATTTGAATACATTGATCTAAAATACTCCCTCCCTCCATAAAAATGATCACAGTTTGATATTTTTGATATAGATTGTTACATTCTTTGACTATGAATTATTGGAAATATATATTTAGTTATAATGTAAATTTAGTAAAATTGAGTTTATTTTAAAATATAATTTTGAAATATCAAATTTTTGTAATATTTAATTGTTTTATACTATATTTAATTTGTGTTCAAAGAGTGTCACTATATTTTTTGTAATATTTAATTTTTTAGGAACGGGGGAGAAAAAAATTGCCCCAAATTTGAGTAAAACATAACATATATTTTCAAAGCATGAGTTCTATATTTTTATCTATAAAATAGAAGTTTGCACTGTGACACTATAATATAATATAGTGGCACTCTAGCATATTTTTGGCACTATATATTGACATTATCGACATTATACTTTTATTTTAAGATTAAAAACATGAAACTCTAATTTTGATATTTTTCTTTATTTTTACTTAGTTTTTTTTCTTATAAATTTGAGTATATATTTTTCCTAACTTGTCCAAACAAACGCAAAATACAAAGGAACAAAATGAGTAAATTTTTTCAAGCTTGTGGAATTGACAAGACAAGGAGTGCCAATGAGGTAATATTTGAATTTGATTCCTGGTAAATGCATTCGGAGACAACTACATTAAGCATAGAATATCCATTCTTTGCTAGCAATCTGCACTCAAAATTTAATTTACCTCATTTCAAAATCTATCGAGCGGAATCTGAGGAACCATGGGAAATGAGCTCGTTCCTTTTTTTACAAAGACAGAAAAAGGCGGGGAAATTCAAAACAATCCCGCCTAAATGGGGTAGGGTTTCCATTACGGCACAATTTTTTTAATCGACTACATCATTACGATGCAGTTACCTATCTATTCCTACGGGAACGTTTTCCAAAGCATTCCCTCTGCGAAAAGACCCATAATTATTACGTAGTATATCTCTTTTCATCCGGCACAGTTTTTAATAGACTACTAAGAGGGTGTTTGGGAGTGTGGTGAGTTATGTATAAGTAGAAGTCATAATTTAGAAGTAGAAAACATGCATTTGTAGTTTTGCTAGAAAGCACTTCTAGACCTTAAGATCTTCCTATTATGCGTTACAAACTTTGACCGACTTTATTTTCAATTCAATTTAATTGATTATAGGAGTAAAATTTTAAGATAAAATTTATATAGCAATAAACTACATGAAAAGTTCTACAAAACTAGAAGTGACAAGATTATATTATTTTACGAAATGACTAGTAAAAATGAGTAAACAAAGTAAATAAAGTTTGACCCTGTGAATAGTGTCTGCGAAGATTTATGGTGGACGGAGGAAATACATCATTAGGACAAAGTATATTTTTGACTTTTTTCAATTAAAATTGGTAAATTTTGATCCAAATTAAAAAAATAAAATTAAATATTGATATAAAAGTAATTTTATTAGATTTATTTTATGAAATATTTTCAAAATATTATTTTATTAAAATAATATACACCGTACAAATGGTACAATATATATTTTAAAAAGAAATATTTGTATTAAATAGTACCAAAATTTAAGTCATTTTTAAAATAAAACTTAAATTATTTTATTTTCAAAATAATACTTAAAAATGTCCAAAAAGATGAATAATGTATAGTGATAATCTACATTTACTTATTTAAAAAATGCTATTTAGGGAAACTGTTTGAAGGTTTTCCAAAGCATTTCTTACCCATAGATATTATCTCGAGGAAGTGGAGAGGTGATTTGAGTTGGTGGAGTTATGGAGGAACAGATGAAGCAGTGCTCTTCGGGCGAGGAGCAGGTGGAGAGCCAAGATTTACCGAAGAAGATTAAATTGGAAAACGGAGAAGGTATTCTTAACGTTGTTGATGCCAAAGCCACGGGAAATTCAGCGAACGATAAGATGTATTCTCCATTGGAAGACAAGGATAATGTAAAAGGGAACATGGAGGAGAAAGTAGTGAAAGATGGTCTGATCAACAATGGTGGAAATATGGAAGAGCAGGAAAACAGGGCATCCGAAGAGCAGAAGTTGCCTCGTAAGAGAGGAAGGCCCACAAAGGAAATAAGAGAGGGAGTAAATGATGTTGGGTATGGCGAGGGCAAAAATTGTACTGACCAGAAAGGAGTGGAAGCTGGGGAGACGAGGAAGCAAATGAGGAGGCCTGATAACAAGGGTAGGATTGATGAGGAAAGTCGAGCCGAAAATGGGGATAAAGTACACGTCATGGATATAAAAATGGAAAATGGCTCGAGCGAGGAAGAAAAGAGGGCAACTGAATTTATGGTAATTGATGAAGAGGAAAAAGGAAAGGAAAATGCCATGTCTACTGTGTCTCTATCAGGAAGGCCAAGGAGATTGGCATGTCAGAAAACGATTGAGAGCTTGAGGAAGCTCAATGAGCAGGAGAGAAAGCTGGATGAAGCAGATAAAGAGGAGAGAAGGAATAAAAAGAGGAATAGGGGCAGGAAGACAGGGACTGCCAAGGTTGCTTCGAATGGGCAAAGTGTTGAGACCCTCTCTAACACAGAAGAAATTTCAGAAGCTCCACCTAAAAGTAAGGAAAAAAGGAGAGGGAAAGCTCAGAAAACATATGAAGGTGGAAGGGAAAAAGAAGTAGATGAGAATGTCAAGGAAAATTCATCAGATGCACACACTCTTCAACCTAGTGAGAATGGTCCGCTTGAGCCAAAGATTAGAATGAAGATTAAAGATGTAAAATATCTAGATTTTTTATTGTTAAATATGTTGATAAATGCTCATTTGAAAATTTCGTTATGGTTTTGGATATAATAGGGGATTCAAGTTGAATCAAATATGTGCCACCAGTGCCAGAGAAATGACAAAGGAAGGGTTGTTCGTTGCACAAATTGCAAGACAAAGAGATATTGTGAGCCTTGCATGAAGACATGGTATGAAAGCTTGGACTCAAGATATTCTTTTGCTTGTTTTCTATTTTATCTGTACATTGATGTGCCATATTGTGTTTCACTTTACTTGAGGGCATATGAATATATTGTGAGTAGCATTTGTGTTGTCTGTCCATGATAAGGTACCCTCGTATGCAAGAAGAGGCTTTTGCAGAAAGGTGTCCTGTTTGTCTAAATAATTGCAATTGCAAAGCATGCTTGCGTTTGGAAGGGCCAGTAAGGGTTAGTTGCTCTTGCTCTTGTCATATACTGCTTCCCTTGGATATCATATGTTAACAATTATAGTGTTTTTTTGTACTTCATAGGCGTTGAAGGAAAATAAATATCAAGTCAGCGTTGAGGAGAAACTTAAGTACTCTAATTATATCTTGCTAGCTCTTCTACCTATCTTGAAACAAATCAATGCAGAGCAACTAATGGAGAAGGAGATTGAAGCTAAGATTAAAGGTAATAATTTTTCTTTCAGTGATGATGTGGAGCTCTATTTTCTTATTTGCAAAGATCTTTTGAAGTGAATGAAAGGAGATAATAAAAGTAATTGACTACTGAACTGCTTTAGACTTTGCAAGTTAGGGTTTGTTTGTTACCATGACAAAGGTTGATTTTACTATAATAGGATATACTGATAGATATATGATGAAAACATCTTGGGTCTAATGTCTGAGGCTAGAATTCTCATTTCTTGCTCCTTTTTTTAAAAGGAGTTGCTGTATCTGAGCTAAAGCTGCAAAAAGCAAAGTGCAAGGTTGATTGGAGATTGTTCTGGTAAATCCTTTTATTTGCTTAGCTTCCTCAACTTGAGTTAAATCGTAAACAGTTCTATGCTGAAGCATTTTCTTATGATGTGGTATTTGCAGCAACAACTGTAACACATCAATTTTTGATTATCATAGAAGCTGCTCAGAGTGTAAAAACTATGATCTTTGTCTTACTTGTTCCCGAGAGCTCAGAGCTGGCGACTTGCATGGGTCTGAAAAAGAAGTCATTATTGAATATATCGACAGAAAGCTTGAGTACATTCATGGCGAGCCCAGGTCAGAATCTCAGACAAGAAAGTTTAAGAGATCTGTTAGGGCTACCTCCAATGAGAACACAATTAATCATCCAAAGAGTTCTGGTGGGTTCTCTCATAAATGGAAACCTGACAAAACTGGTAGAATTAATTGCCCACCAGAGAGTATGGGTGGTTGTAACAAGGGTACTTTGGAATTAAAGCATTTATTGGTGGAGAATCATATCCCTGAATTGCTAGTTAAAGCAGCACAAGTAATGGAGAAAATCAGCTCAAATGACATGCCTGAATATTCTAAGCAATCGTGCTCTTGTGTAAATACGATCAATGAGAGTGAGAGTGGTAAACTCAAGGTAAGAAAAGCTGCTTCCAGGGAAGACTCTGATGATAATTATCTTTACTGTCCGGAAGCCAAGGACATTAAGCATGAGGATTTGGAGCATTTTCGATTGCATTGGCTTAAAGGCGAACCTGTGATTGTTAGTAATGTTCTAGAAACTACTTCTGGATTGAGCTGGGAACCAATGGTGATGTGGCGTGCCTGCCGCCAGATAAAGAATCTCAATCATCCACTTCTTTTGGATGTGATTGCTCTTAACTGCTTGGATTGGTGTGAGGTCAGCATGACAAGGATCTACCCTCATTTCCCTCAGTTGCATTTGCTTGTTGCAAGTTCCATGCTAAATGTTATGTTATTTTTTTTTATGACATCCAGGTTAACGTTAATATCCACCAATTTTTTCAAGAATATATGGAACTTCGTTTTGATAGCTANGGCTGGCCTAAAATTCTCAAGTTGAAAGACTGGCCTCCATCCGCTTTATTTGAGGAGCATTTGCCTCGCCATGGTGCTGAGTTTGAAAACTGTCTGCCTTTCAAGGCATATACAGATCCTAAAAGTGGTTATCTAAATCTTGCTGTCAAGTTACCACCTAAATCCTTAAGGCCAGATATGGGACCAAAGACATATATAGCTTATGGAGTTCATCCAGAGCTTGGGCGCGGCGATTCTGTAACCAAACTGCACTGTGATATGTCGGATGCTGTATGCTCTGATCTTGTTTCTTAATTTTATTTCCATATTTCTCTGCAAGATTTTGTTTTTTAGTTATTTTGAGTAATTTCTCATGTTTAATATAATAGTAGAAGAAAATTAAGTAACTGCCTTTTTTTTCCATATTTGTTGTTTCAGTTGTTATGTTCACTCGTATTAAAAAGTAAACTGTTTTGAAATTTTGTTGCAGGTGAATGTTCTTTTACATACCCAAGGGACAAAACTAAAACCTGATCAAGTTTTGCGTATCAGAGAACGTAAAATTAAACATGCTATGCAGGATGAGAAGGAACTATTGACAACCAATGACATGAAAGAAGAAAGTCCTCAGAAAAATGGGAATGCTTATGGAACAGTTGAGGGTGTTGAAAATGGTAAACATGCTTCAGAAATGGATCCAAAGAGTGAAGTGGATGAAAACAGGAGTGGGAATATTAATGGGTCGGAAAACCACTGTGATGAAAATATGCCATCTAAAAGATGTTTGAGAAGTAGAGTTAAGGGAAATAGAGGCAAAACTGAGCAGGAAGAACAGAGTGGAATGGAGCAGCGGGTTAAAAAAAGTGGAAAACTTAGGAAGAATAAGAATGAATCTCAGAAGGAAAGCGATCCAAAGGGAAATGATTGTCCTGAGATTGAAGAATCTGATAATGGAGCTATATCGGACGAGTATGAAGAATCTGAAGGTGCTCTCTGGGACATCTTTAGAAGGGAAGATGTCCCTAAATTGGAAGCATATCTCAGGAAACACTTCAATGAGTTCAGACATATTTATGGCTGCCGAGTACCACTGGTTTGGACTCCTGCATTCATTTAATATATACTAATCAGTATTTAGAGCAATGCACAAATTACAT